CCCTGCGGCTTACAGCTTGCTAAGCACTTTTCGGACGTGCTCTCGGTGCTGGCGCAGATCGCCATCAGTGTAGATTAGTACGTCGTCCAGGTATGCTAAGCAGAAGTCATCTAGGTGTTCTCTTAAGGTCTAGTTAATGTATTGTTGAAAAGTACTTAGGGAGTTCGCTATGCTAAAGGGGGTAACTAGCCACTTAAACAGTCTAAATCTTGTTTAGAAGGCTGTCTTCTACTTATCGCCTAGTGCGACATGAATCTTGTAGAAGGCTGCGATAACGTCTAACTTTGTGAACTATTTAGCCTTGCTTAAGCTGTTAAGTGTCTCTTAGATGAGGGGTAGCGGGTACTAGTCCTTCTTAGTAATTGCGTTTAGAGCTCAATAATTGATGCACAGTTGGAGCCCTCCTCTAGGTTTCTTGGCGAATAATACTAGCGCTGCGGCTGGCGAGCTGCTTACGCAGATAAATCCCTTTTTAAGAAGCGATGTAAGTTCCTTTCTAAGGACTAGGAGCTCTCCGCGCGACATGCTATAGAGGGGTCCCTATAGTAGCTGAGCATCCTTTGGCTCTAGCTTAATCTTGTGGTCCACCCCTGGCCCTTAGTGCAGTAGAAGCTTCTCTGCTTGCTTCAGGTTAAAGAGCTCATAGAACTCCTAGTACTGTGTTAGTAGCAGCGCTCGTACATCTACGGGCTTCTTTAGTTATAGCGCCTTGTCGATGTCTATAATTAACGCAGCAAAGATCTAAACGCTATTTAGAGCGTTCTTATGCCTACGAACTAAGGCCGCAAACGCTATAGCGTTAACTTAGCTAACTCCTCCTTGTAGGCGTTCTTTAGTTAACCTCACTTAAATGCCCTTTAAGTGGATAAAAATACTCTTCTTAGTAGGAGATACTAATACGTCCTAGTAGTCTATCCATCCCCTGCTAAGGTACACGTCTTTACTAGAGGACAAGTCTATCACGTATGCATAAGCAGTCTCTTCGTACCCATACATCTTGAACGAGAATTAGGCAACCTTGCTAATCTCTAATAGCTTACTATTTACTCCCTTAATTATCCAAGAGGGGATCTAAAAGCGCTCTAGACGGTGGTAGTAAGCGAATCTCTTGCTAATTAGTGCATAGCATAGGCATCTGCAGTTAATAAGCGCGACAGCGTTTACTACATTATTCACAATAAGATCTACAGTAATTGGTGGAGGACGTATATGCTTCTGCTAAAACTAATTCCATTCGCTACGTATCTGCCAATCCATCTTTAGAGGCTCTAGACCAAGACTCTAGTCTAGAGCTACTCTTTTTCCAACTCGCTACTCGGCACCTAATTAACTTCCTCCTGCGGCTTATGTCCAACGTTGCTTAGCGCGGGCCTTGCCTTCTTGACCTAGGTGGCGTTTTGACAGTATTTCGCGATATGACCTAGCTCTCCGCAGCGATAGCAGTTAGGCGGAGGTCGTCGTAGCTTGCCTCTAGCTTCTCGCGCCTAATTAACCTTCAAAGGCTCCTAGTCTATAACGTCCAGACTAGCTTCGTGTTAAGCGGTTGTCATAGTAGGGCGATCTACCACCTAAGAGCTCGTTGCGCGCAGTTTAACGAGACCTACCTAGTAGAGGTTGTCGGACGTTCTTACTGCCTTATTGACTAGCTGCTCGTACGATAGATTCTCATCAATCGTAGCAAGAGCCTCCTGCAGCTTAGTGTGAAGGCCCTTTAAGAACATACTCTTCTTAGCTGCTTCGCTAAACTGCTCGCCTGACTGAATCTTAAGACGGTTAAACTCCATGTGATAGTCTCTTACTAAGAGCTTGCCTTGTTTAAGAGTTAAAAGGCGATTAAGTGCTTTGGACTTCTAGTGTGGGTCGTTAAACTGCTGGTACATAAAGCTCCAGAGGTCTTCAATGTGGCGTTTACTCTGGTTCTGTATTGCCTAGGGTAGAAGTACATCCGCTGCCTTGCCCGTACACCTACTAACCACGTACTCAATCTGAGCGAGGCTCGAAGTTCCTTTGTACTTGTGCTAGAGCTTAGCTTAAGTCTTGTATTTAAACGCTACGTACTTCGTTTGATCTCTATTAAATAGTTCTAGGTGCGGGAACTTGTTCCTGCGCGCAGCTGGCTTGGCGATTGCGGCTGCTGCTAGGGGAGGCGTGAAGGCTCTATGGGACGACTCTGAACGCCCCTCAGCTTGGTTACGCTCGAGTGCCACGAGCCGTTCCGTTAGCACCTAGTTCTGGGCTGTTAACCGATTTATTAGCTCCATCATCTAGGCCATGGCATCCTAGTTGGCCTTCGGCGAGCCTCCTTGCCTTGGTGAGCCCTTTCCTCCCACAACGGCCGATCGTTTGGCGACCGCTTTAATCGTTGGCCTAATTGCTGCCTTCTTCCATCCGTCCTCTCTAAGCATTTGTGTAATTTCGCGCAGGATCTCTTTATCTAATACTCCTGCCTAGTTCTTAGTAGCAGCGTACGCCGCCAGATCTTCTACATTCAAGTTTAGAACGTTAATCTCTATTGCCTAATTCGTTTTAGACGTCTTGTTCTTTGCCTGCTAATATGCAGGGCTTCTAGTCGCTCTTCGATCCGCTCGCGCAGTCCTAGACTGCGGCCTACTCCTCGTTGGTGAGGACTAGTAGGGCTTACCCTTAGCTGTCCTTGTTTCTAGCTAGAATCTAAACAGCGTTCTGTCGCTGTTGTGTCGCGTCCCTAGGAAGACTCGCGTCTTGCCGTCTCGCTCGTGGGATCTCGTCTCCTATTAAGAGTAATCGCACGGCCTGCACCTCGTCTGATAGAGGATCGACAGGACTTCTTACTACAACGTCCGCTTCTAGCTAACTATACACTAGGCCTAAGTGGCCTTTAGGTAGTTTATTACGCGACGTTGTGCCTACGGCTTAGCTTTCTAAGACACAATAGGACTTCCTAGACAGGTCTTGGGCGACTAATTCGCCTACTATCTCTCACGGCTGAACTTCCTGCGAAGCTCTGCCCTAGGTGTACTGTCTTGCGACAGTCTACCTTCTCGCTGCACTAAAGGCCTTTCGTACCTATTGCAGCACTAACTTTGTATTACTAGCTTACACTAACAACACGCTCTAAAACTTAGTTAGAAAATAGTCTGCCTAAGGCTTATGTCTAATTAGGATTAAATACAAAATATAAGGGGCTGCGCTCTAAGAGAGCAATCGCGAGGTATACAAGAGGTTGTATTTAATAGAGAGCTATAGAGTCTACTTGCGTGGTGTTTATTTACTTGTCGGAGAAAGGTTGCACCAAGTGTCTGAGCGCGTCGTCTGGGCGCCGCTCAGGCCTCGCACAGATGCCGGGTTGCAGAGTAAGACCTGGCGTCTGCTGCTTGACCGAGATTCCATCGAGGAGCTATCCAAAGGGCGTTCAGCCCGTTACAAGTCTTTCTTCTTACTTAAGCTTATTTATATGTAACTAACTACGTTATTTAGTTACGTAACTAAAGTTATGTAATTTACTACTATATAACCTATAGGTTATACCTCTCTAGCGTAGCCCTTTATAATACTCCCCTTCTTTACCTTATCTAATATCACGTGCGTATTTCTTAGTCTTCTTTTCCTTTCTCTTTGTCTATTTACTATTATATGTTTAGCGTTTTGTATAGTTAAGGTTGTAAGAGGCTACGCCTAAAGTGTGTGTGTGATCGAGTATATCTATACTGTAAGGGGCTGCGCTCTAGGGAGCAATTGCGAGGTATACAAGAGGTTGTATTCGATAAG